ATAATGTTGGAAATTGTTCTAGCACCTCACTACTAACCACTTTAAAGTCTATCTTAAAGATTTAAAGAAAAAGAAAACAATCTTACAGACAAATCGATTTTGATGCAAATATGCAAAAAAAAAAAAAAAAAGTATGACACAGGAAGATTTTAACAGTTTAAGAGTCAAATGTTGCATTTTTAATAAAATAAAATAATAAATGCACCAAGCATAAGCGCATTGAAGAATTGGAATCTAAAGATGAAGATTTAGATGGGTGTTATTAAGTTCATGATATGTTTAAGGAAATAGATTGAAGATCATCTGGGGTTGAACACCTGGAAAAAAAAAAAATGCAAAACTGAAAAACGTATTGATTTTTTGTAGTGGTGAAACTATTGTTCAGCAAGAGAACTAAAAAAGAAATATTAAGAAATTTATTGGCAAGGTTTAACTAAAAATGAGAATTTTGAAGTTAGTGTTTTTAGAAAGTTGACAGTAGCTTATAAATAACTACATTTCCATGCTTATGAATATCTACATTTTCATTAAAGATAATGTTATGACATCCATTTTCCTCTAGACTAATTGTAACTTCAAAACACATACTACAAATTCTATAAGAATATTGAAAACTATACCATGATAGTCTGTTTGACAGTATCCATATTTGTTTGAATCATTTATTTTAAAACAAGATTAGAACAAAAAGTGTATTTTAGCACATATTTAAACTATCCAACTATAAAGATGACCGTTTTTAAAGATACCTTTAAAGTTGTTTTTGTTTTAATATACAAATAAACAACTTTTGTTTTTAAATTTTAATTTTTTATATATATATATATATATATATATATATATATATATATATAAAGTTTTTTTAAAAAATAATTTAAAACAATTAAAAAAAAAATTAAGTTATATATGTGCAATTAGCAGAAATAAAAATTTATTTTGATAGTATTAAACAAGTATTTAAGGAATTTTACCATGTATGGTGAAATTCCTTAAATACTTGTTTTATACCATCAAAATAAATTAGGTTACAGTTACGGTTGCTACCTCTCCCGGATTGTGCGGGAGTCTCCCGGATTGCACGAGAGTCTCCCGGATTTCGATATCAACTCCCGTCTCCCGGACTTAATTTGAAATCTCCCAAAATGCGAAAATGTATACTTTACGCAGATAACATACATGTTTTACGCATTAAAAACACGATTCTCTAGCAAAAGTCGCTTATGTGCGAAGCGATGTCATCTAGCGAGTAGCTTGTCAAGAGATTAGAGTACATTAAAGTTTATAAACAGATATTTTTAACTACAAATTTCTTCTTTTTTTTTTTAAACTAAGTCGAGGCTAATACGGTAATCGGTAAACATATTTGGATAAATGCAGTGACTTCCGTGATGGTGGACGCTTTTTTGTAACGACTTATTTTATATAAAAAAAAAAATTAAAAAAAAAATGTTTGAATAAAAGTAATATGGAATACAGGCATTGCAGTATTGCATATAATGTAAATAAAATATAATGGCTAACCCCCAAAACCCCCAGCAGAGCTTCTCTCACCGCTCGCCATGCCCCGCCCAATCCGATCTCCCGGATCAGGGTTACCCTGCCCTAGTTACAGAAACGTACTAGTATACTATCAAAATAAATACCATCGCCTTGGGCTACAGTAGCGTCACAAAACGTGCTACCATATTGGATGGGGAAAAACATCGGAAAAAATTAACGCTTATTTTGTCATTAATGCATTATTAACGCGTTTTGTTTTGTATTTTCAGTATTTTACCCAGTGGGCACCGGACCTAAAAAAAACGTCTTTAGAACGTTCAAAAGACGTTCAAAAGACATTCAAAAGACGTCCAAAACGTGTATAAGTCATTTAAAAGACGTATTTTTAACGTCCGTGCCCACTGGGTAACACAGCATTAACAATAAAAACATTTAACGATAAGCGTTTATAATGCGTTTTGTCTAAATTTTTTTTCAAACCAAAATGATTGAACGTTTTATATATGATTTAACTTTTGCAACTATGAGTAAAATATCTTATGTGCTAAAAATATAATTAAGAGACATCGTTGCTGCAAAACAAAGCTATCCATTTTTTGACAAAAAAAAACTTATTTGGTTTAAAATACTTAATACATATAACAAATAACGGAAAACAAATAGATTTAATCAAAAAAAATCAAAAGCAATGATTAAATTCAAAACTTTAATTGTCTTTTTCTCAGAACAATCAAAACGGACTTAAGATGGTCTTGTTTTGCAGCGACAATTTAATTTGAAGAACTTTGTCATATTTTATATTGTTTTAAGATTATCTTAAGTCCATTTGTATTGTCGCTTCTCATAAACTTAAATTTTTTATTTCTTATTTGTTATGAAAAATAATAACATATTCTATAAGTATTTTAAAAATAATTTGGCTTATATTAACAAGATCAAACGCAATGATGAATTAAAAACTTTCAATACTATTATTGCTTTTCTTAGAAAAGCAAAAATGGATTTAAGATCTTGTTTTGCAGCGACGATTTAGAGGTATGATATTGAGTTGCTTTTGGCTTGCATTTATTTTTTATATAGTTGCTCTATTAAGTACAGAACAAGTTTGGTACTACTTTCACTATGAAAAATACTTCAGAGAAAAATATTAAAAATAAAAATATAAAGCTTTTAACATCAAGCAAAGGCACTTTTAATGGCGGAGGTCACGCCGGCCTTAGAAGGATGTTTTTAACTTATAGTCGGTTTTTTAAGAAATATAGTAGGCTAGCCGTAGTTTTTTAAGGAATATACTGGGCATTTGACACATTTCTTGAGTAGTTTTTTAGTTTTGAGGACCTTTTTTTTTTTTTTACTCCGGTCACTATAGTACCAACTAATCTGTTACTAAACAACCCTAAATATTAAAAAAAAAAATCTTTAAATGAACTCAAAAAAGTCTCAACTTTAAAATCAGGGACTTAACAAATTAAATTATGAGAAAAACTCATATTTCCAATAATAAAAGAAGGTTCGAATGAAAACTAGGCAACAATTAAAAATAAACTAATACATAGCCTTTAATTAATCATGCAATTATTTATTCGGAGAAAGAAACCAATAAAAGTGCATAGAAAATGCAGATAGTGTATATGCTCTTAAATAGATATACTCTTAGATGTAAATAGAAAAGAACTTAGACGTGATTTGTGTGCTTAAAACAAACACCTTTCATACAGATGTTCTCCTTAATAAATTGAGTGAAGAAGATTCAGCATTTCGTCTAAAATTGGCTAACACACATTGAATTAAAGTTACTACAGTTTTAAAAATTGTAAAATAGATAAAACCTACATATTGTTCTAATAAATTCGAGGGCGTTCCTAAACCATTTACATATATATAAATTTTAATTATTTTGAAAAGTAAAGTGAAACCAGGGAAGCTAAAGAAATTATTAAAAAAAGTATTCAAGATTTTCTTTATACACTATATTGCTTGTAAAATGTCTTTGATCATTCTCTATTATAGTGCATGTGACAGAATCAGGGTTGTTATAGATGTTAATAGTTACAGGGCATTAATTATTTTGCCAAATAAAACTGTTTTCAAAATATTTGCCAAATAAAAATGTTTTCAAAGTAACATATTTCAAAATAAAAAACTTGTTTTAAACTTAGCTGGCAAATATTAAATAAATAGTCTGTATTTAATTAGCTACTAAACTTTTCGTTTTAAAAACTTTTTTGATTTTTAGAGTACTCCAAGAAAATCTAATGGTCTCACACGGGGCATCACGGAGTATCTTATAAACCAAAATATTAAGTATTAATGTATTACAAGTAGTAAATAATTAAGTTTCTCGCTGCATTTCTAATCAATGCCTCTTTTACAACTAAATCAAGAAACGAATTTTTTACTTTTAAATAAGGGATTGTCCATAAATTACGAAACGCTAAATTTCACTTAAAAACAAAATAAAAAAGATCAAAAGTTTTCCCTCGCAGAGTCTTATATTAAATAAAAAAAAACTTAAACAAGTAAAATTAAAACGAATTTTTAAAACCCAATGCATTTATATGTTATTAAAACACAAATTTCGCAAATAATTTTTTTATGGTTTTACTATTTTATTTCATTAACATTCGGCTGTATGCGTATGTAAAAAAAAAAACAAAAATATTTCAGGAAGAGGTGGGTCTCGAACTTCAGACATTCAGTTTACGAAATTTTTATTTCCATATAAAAAATAAACTTAATTAAAATTAACTAAATTAATTGACTTATTGCAAAACTAATTATTGAATATTGAATTGTCATCAAGCAACAAAATATATGCAAAATTTGAAAAAAGAAAATCTATCACCAGGAAGTGACTCAAAAATTTATTACAAGATTTGATGTTCACAAACAAACAAACTGGAGACGAGGAATAAAAGCGTTGGGGAAAAAAAAAAACAGCGCGTTAAGTTTAATGAAAATCGCCGCGTAAAAATCTTCTACTTCTGTTTTTTAAATAAATTTAGCGTTGCGTAATTTAGGGACGATCTCTAATGTGAAAACCTACTCGCAAAAAATAATAATAATAATTATATTAATTAATTATTAATTAATTATATTAAAATATAATAATAATAAACTTACAAAACAAGTACTTGCTATCTTAATTGCACTTTAATAGCAAAATACATAAAGAAAAATTTCAAAATACATAAAATAGAATCTCAAAATACATAAAGAAAAATTTCACGAGTTACATTACTAAAGTATAATGTTTGTATGTTTCATTTTTAAAAAAAGTCATCTTTAGATTTTTAAAAAAAGTCATCTCATTTATGTTAGTAAAAGGAGTTTAAAAGATATTTTAAAAGACAACAAAAACTTTTTTTTTCAAAATAATCAGAAAAATCGAGACATTATTTTTTAGGTTAATGCATAAAACAGGTTATAACTTTGCTCTGTCTAAATTCTATTTTCATAGTATAATAAAGTAATTTTTTTTTTTAAAACATAAATCTCACCGAGACTTTTGCTTGTTGTTATCGCAATCTAAAAAATTATAAGTAATAGTTTATTTAATTCTTTAAAATTACTTAAAATATAAAAGTGTTACACTCTTAACATTAAAAAGTATATATAGTCATTCATAAACTTTAAAATGGCGATAAACTTTAATATAAAAATGCAAGTGAAAGGATTTGCAGATTTGCAAATCCTTGAAAAAAGCGCTCTCTTAGAGTTAGCGTTTTTTAACGCTAATTCTAAAGCTTTATATAAGTACTGCATTTTTAAATTAGGTCTTAATAATATAAAAAATTTGCTTTAAGATATTTAATATTTCTAACTATATTATTAACAGTTTTAAGTAATTTTGTATTGTTTAGTATTTTTGACAGGCCTGTAGTGTGGTTTGTCTCGAGGTGGTTTGTTTAAGGGAAAGTTAGCAGCAAAGAAGAATTGGTGATGACATGACATGACAGGGCCAACGAAACGGGTTTCGAAGTAAAGGAGGGGGGGGGGGGTAAGCACAATCTTTAATTCTAAAAAAAGTATTCTATATCTAGAATTTTCTTATAAAAAAAAAGGTCCCATAGAAAAATGGTGGGGACACGTGCCCCCAAACCCCCTCGGTGTTGTCGGCTCTGCATGAAACCAAATATAAGGTAATGGGTGGCTACATGAACTTGGCAGTTATAAATTTTCTATACAACTAATAGTTTGCCCGCTAAAAATTTCTGAAAAACACCGCTTTAGAACTATTATTACTTTGAACAAGTCAACATGCTTCAGACTGGTTGTGCCATATTTTGCGCAAAAATTAGTGGTGAAAGGAAAGAAACTATCCAAATTTTTTACGTTCTCAAAATTTATATTTTTTTATGAAGAGAAAGGTTTAAAAGAACTAAGCAATCATGTTCAATCAAAGGAAAGCTCAACAGATAACCTGATTAAGATTGGAATTGATAGTGGAGGATCATTTTTGAAAATGAGTCTTATTCTTATAAACACATTAAAGAAAACTGATGACACATTTAGCTACAAAAAAATCAACAATTACTCAAGAATTTAATAACTCGAGATACTGGAGTAAAGCCTCTGTTAATCATTTTAGTTTTTTAAGTTCCTAGAAAAAAGATAACTATTGCTGGATTTGATAAATAAAACCTTGGTTCAAAATTTTATGTGATCTTAAAATTGTCAATCTTTTGTGCAGAATTCAATCTTATTCAACCATATATCGTTGACTGAAATATAAATCTTCTAACACAGGAGTCTTAAAAACAATCAGAAGTCTGTAGACAAAGACAACAAAATTGGTGCCTCCGAATCAAATATAAGCAAATCCAATGAATTCAACATTATGATAGAAGTTTCTTTAATCATAGAAGACTCTAAAGTTGTTCTGAACTTGATCTTGCCAATGCAGGTTTATCTCCTTTTGGGAGCTGTTAGCCATCTTATTAGAAGCTTCTACATTAGCCGGAAGCAAGGGACTTGCCTGCAGAACTAAACCTCCATATATAGCCATTTTACCGTAGTCCGTTTAAAGAGAATGAGTGCAGTATCTTATTAAAGAATTTTGGCATACTTCAAAGAATGGCAGAAAAATCTTGCGCATTTCAAGCTATAGACTTTGTCAAAACATCCAGGCTTCTTATAGGAATTGTTGTTTTACGTTTTAGACTTCCTTTAGATGGTAGGTTCCTGGAAAAAAAATTAAATGTTCAAGCAATCATACCTCTTTGTGCCAGTTACTTTGACTCTAATGCAAATACCGTTTTTTCCCATGTTACAGAATTCATTAAACACCACGATAATTGAATTGTTTAGTGAACAGGCAACATATTCAATGTATTCATTATTCAAAGATCATCGAAAACAAATCCCATTCTGATTATGGATTCATGCTTATAATAATGTCGGTGATGTGCTGTGAAAATATATTCATTTTAATAAAAAAAATTTTTGATTACATTTATAAAAATTTAAGTTAAAAAAATATATATTTTTGTTTAAATTTGCTATTTAAAGGCGTTTCCTTGGACAAAATTAAAAGATTATGATACTTTGCCAAGTTAATCGGTTATATGTATCATCCATCTGAAGGGTTTTCCGTGTAAATTTATAATAAGGCGGTTTTGATGGTGTTTATTAGAATACTTTCGATTCATTCAACGTTTTATTTATTAAAAGATATGGTTTAAAGGTTTTCAGCATTACAAAATCTATAGGCTTTTAACAAAATTCCCTGCTTGACAAAACTTGTAAAGCCGGAAATTTTTACGAAAAATTTTCAAAATTTTTCTTACAAAAGTTATTTTACAGGTGTAACTATCATTTTCTTATAGATGTTAGTTTTGTTGAAAAATTGTTGTTGTTTTTTCTTTAGCTAAATGGATTTCATATAAACCAATTTGTATGGATTACATGAAAAATGGGCTACATTAAAGATTGTATAGATTTCGTGGAAAATTTGATTCATTAGCATTTTTTGGTTTAATAAGTCTTTAGTTGCTTACCAAATTTCAATTTATTAAATTTTTAAATATAACCTCAAATCAAGTCTTATGAAGCATTGTTATTCTCATCTTGAGTTCTTATGTGCAGTAAAATGTAAATTTCTATGTGCTGTAAGATTTAAATTCATATGTGTATAATTTGTGAGTTTATTACGGAAAAAAGAGAAGCATTAAATTGTGTTTAACAAAAGCGGGATGGCCTTTGGCTTTACCTCCCGCTTTCGTCACCTTTTTTATACTTCTCAGTAAAAACAATTCCAAAAAAGTTATTAAACAGGGAGTAAATGAATATACTTTTATATCGTTACAAAATATAAAAGTACATTTGGCCAGAGGGAATATCTATATTCGTATTGCACAAAACGCATTTTATAGTTTATATGACGCAGTTGATCATGATTTAAGTTGTACTTTTTTTATCTTTAACAACATCTTAAGCTACGATTATTAATAACATTTTAAACAATGATTATTAATAACATATTAATTTTTGTGAAATCTTGAAATTAATCTTTAGTAGTACCTTGTTCAAACAATCACTAAATTTTATAAAAATAATGTAAAAATAATTTTAAATAAAAAAAATAACCCAATTATTTTTGTATAACAAAGACCCGAGCATAGTTTAAATATAAGCATACAATTTAATAAAAGGAAAAACTTAAACTAGTTAAAATACATCAAAACACGGTTAAACTACAAAACACGGTTAACTTAGTTACCCAAACATATTTAACTTATACACAAAAATTTTCAATTTTTACCCAAACATACATAAATTACACACACACATAGTTAACTTAAATGCAAACATAGTTAAAATATTCTCGATGATCTCTATAATTATATGATGATAATTATATTTTGCATAATAAAGCTTTTGAAATCAGAAAATGTTACTTAACAGAACGAATGTTTTACCTTGCACAAAATAATTGTCAAATAAAAAGTTCCACTTTTCATCTTAATTTCTTAACTTTAAGATGTGTTGCCATTGTCTGAAAATTTAATTCCTATTAAATTGCTTTCTTCGTCTTGTTTGCTCATTTTTCGCACTTATTTTTCGATAAAAACCTTCCTCCAATTATAACACTCTCCTTCTGTCATGTTTTTGCATTTAAAAGAAGTTACTGTCAATTTCAAAAAATTTTAAAAATGACAAAATCAGCAACATTAAAAACAGTTTAATTCTTGTTGCTAATTATAATAATATTTCATTTTATTCTTTATTAATTGCTATTATTAATTGGTTAATTACTTTTTTGTATTCTTAGTGTCAACACCCAATAAACCCTTGACGCGATATCTGAGAAACATCTTTTAGATGTGAATTTTATTTAAAGACGTTTACAAGACGTATTTTAGACATCGTGTTTGCTGGGTATTCCTATTTAGATTGACTTAAACAGAAAAAAAAATTTGAATTAAAAAGTTTTTGAGATTTTGGTAGTTACATTACGAAAAATTGGTGGTTTAATATTCAGCCGGTGAGCCTAAAAATCTAAAATTTATTCGGGAAATTAACACCACTCCTGCCTAACGCCAGCCTGTAAACCTAACCATTATACCTTAAGCGCTTATATATATATAAGGTCTTCTTGATATAATTAAAGTAGAAAACCTCTACAATGGAGTTTAATTAATGAATAATGAGTAGCTTCAAAACACTTTTTTTAAACTTGATTTTTATTGCATTAACATGAACTTGAAATTTAATTAAAAAAGAAACAGCGAGAAACGTAAGTTTTTATTAGATCACTTTAACAATAGAATCATTTCTTATTTTCCATTTCTAAAACAAACTCATAGTTTAAATTTAAAAGTGTCTGCATAAACAATACATTTTAAAGATTTTATTAAACTGAAGTATATATATTTTATTATTAATTGTTCGTTTCATTCGACCAAGCCTTTAATAGCTTTTAAGTTTTTGTAACGTAATTTTTACAATAGATTTGCACAAAATCATTGGGTTATTTAAACTTTAATAATTTTTTATAAATTACTAATATTAATACATCATTAGGTGTTATTTAAAATTATTTGAATTAAATAATACTCCCAGGGGCGGGTAATGGCAATGTCATAATAAATAATTCTTTATTTATTGGATGCTTTTTCTAACCACGACAGCAACAGCAAACTCCTTTTTACTTGTTTAATTTAAAAATTTTATTTAAAATTAGCCTAGAAGCTATAAAGTTATAATTTTTAACAACTTTTGTCTTTACCTTAATAATTGTTACCGTCAAGGTAACAATCTTATAGTTGTTATTGTCAAGGTAACAATCTTAATAACTGTTATCGTCAGATAACGTTCTTAATAATTGTTATCGTTAAGATAAAGACAAAAGATTGATATTAAGATTAATTTAAATTTTTTTATTTAAATTTTGTGTACTTCATTTTTTGTTACAAAAAAAAATTTAATTAACTAACGTTCCTCATTAATTAACATAATTGAAACTTACTACGATTATTTCTTCTTAGATTCTGCAAGATAATATTAATAAGGTTTTTCTCAAAAATTGTTTTTTTCAAAAAAATTGTTATTTCATATTTTTACTGTAAATTTTCCTTTGAAAAGTTAAAAATACTTCTCTTAATGTCATAGTTCTAAAAAGTTGCTTAGGCACTATTTTAATAAGCTATCTTTCCAGTTTTTGCAACCAAACACAATTTAAACAGCTTACATATCATCACTGACCTTATTAAAGCAAACCTTTAAAAGATTAATAAATATAAAAAGGACTGAGCAATTACCCAGTGGGCACAAAACGTTTGTTGGATGTCTCGAAGACGTTCTATGAACTTCTGACGTCTTAAGGACGTCGTGCCCGCCGGGTAGTTTTAAAGCATACAAAATTTTAAGAAATTAGCTACATTTACGTCATTAACTCCATTACTTTCTTTGATTGCTCTTTTTAGACGTTTTTAAAAATAAAATTGATTTTGATCCTTTAAACGGCCATACAAAGAATATCTCTTATCTATTATAATATAGGCCCTTTTCTAACAATTTTTACGAGTGAATATTTAAAATATGCTACAACTGAATATGCAAAATTTAATACCAAAAATTTAAGTATACGTTTTCGTAATGAGAGTTTGAGACAAAAAAAAAAATATCCTCACTTCAATTTCTTTTGTAGGGAAAAATAAATACTTAAATGTTTACATGGAAATATTTTTTTGATTAAATAATTAAACTATTAAATATTTTGTGTTCCTATTAAGAACATATCGAAAAAAAAAATGATTTTTATCAGTTAAAGTTGTTTTTAATTGTCAATTTTATACAGTAAAATATATTTATTTAAAAAAAAAAATGTTAAAACAGTTTTTAACATTTGTGAATCTTTTATATAATAAATTGTGTTATATTAGGGAATGTAGGCTATTTTTATAGCCAACATAAACTTTGTTTATTTTAAATGGATTGCATTCCTTGAGATTTTTTATTTTCAAAATGGTTTCAATAACCTCTTTAGCTTATTTAATTCCAAAGATACGAATGTTTTAATATTTTCATTACTTGGAATTTTGAAGAAATATTTTCTTTATTGCATAAATTTTCTGGCACCGAAAATTTAGAAAAAAAAAACAATTATTTACGCGTAAAATTAATATGCAAAAACAAATTTTTCTTAAAATTCGTTTAGAAATAAGATTACAAATCCATATAATTATAACATTTCATTAATATAACTTTTTTTCGCTATTTTGCAAACGCGGACCATTAAATGATCTATTAACAGAATGTTTTTAAAATTTTTAAAAGTTTTAAACAACGAAACATTAAATGTTTCCATGTTTAAAATGTTATTTGAAACACAATTATTGAGAAAAAATGAATTTGAACTTTTTTTTTTTTGAATTTTTTTCAATAAATAATTGAGTGAAAAACTTAGATCTAAATAACAAAGGTCCAAAACATTAAAATACCTTAAGATAACACACAATCTAATATTTATTTAAACATAAAAAAAAAGTTATCGGTAACAGAAATATACATTATATTGTAGAATGCACTAACGTAATATATATAACACTAGCTGAGATCGGACCCGTAAAATACGGATCTTTGTAAATCTATTCCAAACCGTTTTACATTTCTATTCCTCGCCGATTATTTTATACCTATTCCTTATTTACTTCGGTATTTTTAGTAAAATAACTTAATCTGAAAAAAAAACTTTAAGAGCAAAAAACTTAACATGCGCACCTTTTGCACATACGTAGAGCCGTTCTCCATTCAGAACTTTTTGCGTCTAGGCAGAAATATCCTCGCGATAATTTGCTCTTGTGCGGAAAAATTCGAGCGGAATTTGATCTCCATTTACCGCGCTGAAATTTGTATTGTTTTGTATTTTGATAAAAAAAAAAAAAAAAAAAATGGTTGTAAATCAAAGAAATCTACTAAAAAAGAAAATAACTTTGTTGCTAATTTGCAAATTTGTTGTAATTTTTTCCATTTTTTTAGTTATATTTTCTTCTTGAAAGTTCAGGTTCTCTTTAATTTCGTAAATTTCTCTTTCAATGATAACATTTTTTAAATTGCTTTCTTTGGCTTCATATTCAAGTTTGTCAAGTCGTTCTGCGAGAATTTTTAAGTTTCGACTTAATATTAATATAAAGTTTTGTTCTTGCTCTTTTAATAACTTACTTGTTTCTTATTATATTATTAATATTATTTTCAGAATCAGCAATGTCAAATTGACCAGAAAAATGGATAATTTTTGAGGTATGTACCACCTTAATATAAAGTTTTGTTCTTGCTCTTTTAATAACTTACTTGTTTTTGATAGTATAAAAGATTTTTGCTCTTCAAGTTTTGTTGTTAACTTTTCTATGTTTTTTAACGTTAAATCCATATTTTAATTTCTTGATAAGACCGATAAAAACACGTCCGTACACGGCGAGGTTTACGAAAAAAAAGCTTACAAAGCCCGTTCTCCATTCAGAACTTTTTGCGCTTAGGCGGAAATATTCTCCTGATAATTTGCTCTTGAGCGGAAAACTTTGGCGGAATTTGATCTCTATTTACCGCGCTGAAATTTGTATTGCTTTGTGTTTTGATTAAAAAAAAAAGTGGATTTAAATCAAAGAAATTTACTAAAAAAAAAAAAAAAAAATTTGTTGCTAATATTAAAAAATTGTATTTTATTGAGAAATCGCCGGAAACATAATATGTGGATGCGTAGAATTTTTATGGAAAGTTCACAGAAAGGTCTTTTAAATGTATTAGTAAAAGATTTAAAACTATTTGACAGTGAATATTTTTTTCAGAGTTTTCGAATGAGTTCACAAACTTTTGAAGTGTTTCTATCCTGGGTTGCTCCATTCATATCTAAATATTCTCTAAGACGGGCAGTTGCAACTCCTGAAGAAAGATTATGTATAGCATTAGAATATTTTGTTACTGGCGATACTCAGATAACAATTGCAATAAGTTTCAGAATGAGCCCAACAACTATAGGAAGAATTATCACAGAAACATGTAAAAAAATTTGGAATGTTATGTATAAAAAAGGATATTTGTTAGCACCATCTTTCCAAAAACAATGGCTTGAAATATCTTCTGAATTCCACGAAGATGGAATTTTCCTCATTGTTTTGGGGCAATAGATGGTAAACATGTGATTATTCAGTCGCCAGCCCAAAAGTGGTTCAATGTATTTTAACTACAAAAAAACTTTTAGCATTGTACTTTTAGTAACGTGCAATGCAAAATATGAATTCACTTTGGTTGATATAGGTGGCTCCGGGCGTCAAAGCGATTATTTACAATAACAGCAAAGCGTGGTATTTACAATAACAGCAAAGTAGGATCCGCAATTGACAATAATTAATTAAATTTTCCTGATCCATCATGTATAAATGGTTATTCAAAATCTATAACATTTCCCTATACTTTTTTACCCGACATATCATATGCATTAAAGCCGCATATGATGAGGCCTTATCCACAAAAAACCAATCTCGATAAAACAGAAATTGTGTTTAACTATCGCTAATCAAGAGGAAGCTCAGCG